TTTTCTAAAATGCTTAGTTTTCGAGATATTTCACCGGTCCGGGACTTTTTGAACACCCTGTATATATATTTTTTTTTTTCATTTTACTAAATAGGTAAATCTACAATATACTCAAAATAAATTAACACAAAAGATTAAAAAAGTCCTTGACAAATATATTTTTTCAATTTTTATCCATTTCTTGTATTTTATAGGTAGATTACATACTTAGTAAGCAATCTATGCGCTAACTGACATCAGATTGACGACAGAATCTGTCGAATTCGAGCAGGATCTGTCGATAGATCCATAGGCACCTGTGTCCCCAATCTGCTGTCAGACTGCTGACAGGTTCTGCTAACAGACTCTGACATCAGATTGGCGGCAGATTGCGCGCAGAGCCTGTCGACAGACTCTGACGGCAGATTGCACACAGATCCTTTCGTAGGTTCTTCAACTAAATCTTTGGTAGAAAATTTTCTCATAATTTTACATAATTATTCATAGAATAAGCGCTTTATCATAAATAATCATAAATACTCGTAAAAAACAATGGAAAAAAAGCTTTTCTATATTATTTTTTCATAATTTTTAAAATTTTCTCTACGCCAATTCCTTATTTGATAAAAAGTGTTTTGTATTGTCTACTTAAGCTATAAGGAAGAAAAATCTTAGAGTTTGTTCGCTTTTTAAACCACAAAATATAGACGAAACCATTTAGCGTATAAATAATAGATAAATAATAAATAAGAGAGACCGGCATGATAATTTGAAATTAATTTTCTACCAGGGACTGTATAGAAAATCACTGCAATAAAACAGTAGATAATGACATTTTTCCATCATGCTAATAAAATACTGTGCTTTTACATGTGCGAATTAATTTAATCGATCGTTCAGATTGTATTAAATCGAAGCATGATATTTTCAAATAAACCATCACAAAAATTCTGTAAAAGTTATTTACATGACTAATATTTTATTCGGTGCTGCTGTCTTCAGTACTTATTGCATGACGGTTAAATCGTTCAGATTTAATAATATAATGACATTTAAAAGAAATAATAATAATATAAGAAATTGTATGAAAAATTATGAGAACAATTTTTGCCAAGGATGGCACATGTACGCCTTTAAATGGCTATTTAAACTGATCACTTAACCGTTGTACTATTCTATACCTGTAATCGTTATTATTTCTCTATTATTGTTGCTTTTTTTTATAAGAAATGTGTAATACAATTTTAAAAAGTAAAAATTGTTTTTGATTGTGTATATGTGTGCAATTATTGCACAATATAATTATCTTGACTCCTCTCGGAGTCTTTACATGGTGTGTATGTGAAACTACCCCATTTAATAGCGTACATATGGCCCTTGATAGAATTAAATAGCCTATCTACGAAACAAAATCTGCGTGCAATCTGCCGCCAGTCTATCGTCAAAGTCGGCAGGCTCTGCGCGCAGTGTGTCATCAATCTGTCGTCAGAACAGATTCTGTGTACAATCTATTGTCATTCTGTTTACAAACACTATTGACAGATTCTGTGCAAAATCTGCTCGTGCAGGTTTGGCTATCTGGGTATTTCTCAGGCTCCCCCATTGATTAACACTATCGCAGTGACAACAAATATTTTTAGCAATATTGCCGCAAAAGAAAAATAAAAATTCGGAAAGGTCCGAATTGTAAATAATTACTCAACATTTTTTAAATTAATTTATTTGAAGTCGCCATCACGGTTTGCTGTTTGAAGATAGGTTCAGCTAATCTAGATAGTTGTACTTGAATAATGGTGCAGATCAAGTTTTAGAAATTTTATTCCTGTGTACATTCCAACATATAATGTATTCGTAATTATTTTTCTTGTTCATATAGCATGTCTTTGTAGTTACTCTCACAAAATATATATCTTTTAAAAATATTTCTTTTAATTACTCATTTTGTTGCTATTTGTTAAGTAATATTATCTTTATTTGCATACAGATTTTACCAAATGATGCACAAGCAAGAAGATTATTCGTAACATCGGGTAGTTTGAAAAAGGTACAAGAGATTCAAGCTGAGCCTGGTACAATACTCTCTGAATATATAACAATCATCAATTGTTGTTTTCCAGAAGAAATCATCAGGTTATCTTTTTTTCTTTTATCTTTAACGCTAATTATTCAACGTAATTATAAAACTATCATTATTCGCGAGAAAAGGAGAATAATTCTATTTATATTAAATATATTTTTCATGTTTCTTAAACATATCTAAAACAATTATAATTAAATCTTCTTTGTTAAATTTACTTCGTATAACAGATATTTTTCCGCCAATGATTATTCGATAATTTCAATTATTTTATTATAAAAAACCATTCAAATGGTTAATTAATAATAAGTTTTTTGTGAGATGTATGGTGACACATAAGCAAGTTTCACGTGCAATATTGTTTATACACATACACACACGCGCGCGCGCACGCACGCACACGCACACGCACACACGCACGCACGCGTACACGCACACACGCACGCACGCACGCACGCACGCACACATATCGGAAAAACATAATTTCTCACATATATTCTAAAGAACTATTGATTTGATTATGATGTATTACAAGCATTAGTAAAGGAGTTAGTTACTCTGGACATTGACTGTTTGGTTGCCTAACCTTTTCTCATGAACGACACACATATTATGAGCTGATGAAGCACTTACTTGTAATGATTAAAAGTTCGCTTTCTTCGCACTGTCATTTACGTCACTAATGAATGCAAATAACTGTAAATTCGTTGATTTACAGTTCTGATTGTCGTGTGTCTTAATTTAAATTGTCTGAGTAATAAACGATGTGTCTACCATGTTGTTACAGCTGATCGCGTTCGAAAAACGCGACAGACGTTTTAGTGGATCAATAATGAGAAAGATATATACTGTTTGCAACTATACTTGATTAATATTTCAGTACACTTGTTTAATTAAATAAGTTTGTTTATTATTTAAATACGTGAAATATATTTACGTAAGCTTGTTTATTATTTATTACGTATATGAGATATTATATTCTAATGTTAATAATTATTATCCCTCGAACAACAATCACATAGTCTTGCTTATTTATAACCGTTTTGCTTTATGTTACATTTATTTTGTTTGCCAATAATTTAATTGTGTGTCAAATTATAAAGTAAATAACATTCGTAAGTCTGTTCGTTTTAACATTACTCTCTATATTTAATAGGGCAACTCTTTGGATATGACAAATGAATTTTTTTTTTCACTTCATTAAAAGTCCTTAGAGATATTTTAATATCATTTTTGAGACTGAAAACATTTTTTTATAAGAGATATCAACCGGTATAACTTGTACCAGTAACTATTCAGGGAAAACGTTTAGAACCACTCCCGATTCTCTCGGTCAATTCTGTGCTGCTGATACAACTTATGTACCAATGTCCTATAAAGGGTTAATAATGCTTGTGTTCAGCAAACACAACAGTTGTACGTGTAAAATTAGTAAAATAATTAAAAAAAAATTATATTATATAACCGTTTGTATTTCGTTTGAAAAGGATTGAACTGCAAAAACGCTTATGAGTCTTTAGGGTGCGTTCAGATGGAGAAAAAATAGCGGAACGAAACAGTTACGGAAAAGAGGTATGGTGGGGGTCAGCCAATCAGAGTAATTCCGTTTCCATTCCGTTCCACTATTTGATAGGTGGATTTCATATGGCACGGAACTGTTACGGAATGGAACAAAAACGGAAAATATTCTAACTTATCGACATCAAAAGTTTACGAAGTGTGGTGAAGTGTGTCCGGTTTGTAACATGTTTTTTGCGAGGGAGAAAATGAAAAGACTATTATGGCAAGTCAAAGAATGTTTGAAAGGTATCATTGATATATCCAGGTAGTAAAGTGACGTCTAAAAACGTCTAAAGTACGTGTAAATTTGATACCGCACCAATGCTTTAATACGGGTGCGTTTACATCGAATGCACTAAAGGAAAAATATAATACGAATTTAATTCATATCGATTGCCTGCTAGTGGTGGTATTTGAAATTGCAATTTGCTTGAGATAGCTTTGTTCGATAGTTAGAATGCATAATTCTAAAAATTTTCTCGTTTCTTCTTCTCTCTAATTTATAACTCTTTTTACAAGACATTTTACTATAATTTAAGAGAAACTAATGGTTACCGATAACACCGATTTTAATTAGGTTCGGTTCCCTCCAACATTCGTTTCACACGTTTACATCGTCATTTGTATCATTTGATACGCGTATTAGTTTAGTACGATATTCCTACGTGGTACGCTCGTACCAAATTGACCCGTCAGTGTTTACATCATGCGTATTAATAAATATTTAGTACGAATTTGATACGAATATAGTGGTTACCCGATAATTTCCCGAAAAGTGCGGGGATAAGGTTGGCACTAACAAAACCTTCTAGGCTACATAATTTCAATTTTTGAGGATTAGCAGCACTGTTTAAGTAGTAAGCTTTGACTATGGACCGCTAGCGGCGATTCTAAACGTCTGTCAACATCTGTAGCGCTGCCAGGACTAAACAACGGCAAAAGAAGAAACTCAGTAGAGCAAAACAGATATCAGCAACGTAAACGTTTCTAATATCCGCGTATCAGATGGTGATACGTATTGGAAAGACCTAATATAGTATAAGTATAGTAGAAGTAATAAAAAGAATTAGACTTTCTTGAAAACCACAAATACTTTATAACAAAATTAGTTATAGAAAATTATGTTAAAATTGTTATGAATTATGAGGGAAAATTAATGAGCCAAAAATGTCAATATATCAGACATAAATTAACAAAAATGATTTTATTTCAAGGACAATAATATACCGTCATTTGGAGTAACTTTTATATCGCTGATATGAAAGTTCTATCTCTATCTGTTTAATGAAGCCACATGTTTTTGTAAGCCGTTGCAAATTGTTCAAAGTTACCCCAGTGTTCCAAGTTACCTCAAATGACGGTATATTAAATAATGTTTTAAAAAATGTTGAACGTTTTTTTAATAATATTACATATATATTATATAAACATTCTTAATATATATATACAGTGTGTCCCATAAGTTCGGCAACGGCAAGAAAACTCGGCGGGGGAGCATTTTAGAGAAAAATGTTTCGAATAAAAGTTGTAAGGCTTAAAAAGTCGCATTTAATGAGAGTAGTTATTTGACCTAAGATGACGTCGCCAAGGTCAGGACAAAGTCAACTTTGCTTTTTTAGATAGAAATATATATTTTTTATTACGGCATTTTATTCTATATGAAAAAGCAAACAACTTTTGTTTGAAAAAATTTTTTATACGACCTCTATTTTCTAAGATATTTACGTAAATATCT